GCGGCGGGAGGAGCGGCGCGGCCGGGCCTGCCCTCTGCTGGCTGCGGGGCCGCCGCCGTGAGGCGGTGCCTCCCCCCGGGCCTCGGCAGGGCCCTCGTCTCAGCGGCCGCCTCGCCCCGCCCCGCCCCGGCCAGGCGGTACCGCCGGCGGCCGGGCCCGCGGTGCGGAGGGGAGCTCCGTGAGTGATAGCGAGCGCTGGTGCTCGGTCTGCAGAGAGAAAGGGTCCCAAGCAGGGCATACATTCACAGAACGGTTTGGATTGGAAGGGACCTGAAAGTCCCCCCAGTGCCACCCCCTCCAACCTGCCCTTGAACCCCTCCAGGGATGGGGCAGCCACAGCTTCTCGGGGCAACCTGGGCCAGGCTCTCACCACCCTCACACCAAACAAGTTCTTCCCCAGATCGCACCTCCATCTCCCCTCTTTCAGTGTCAAACCCTTCCCCCTTGTCCTATGGCTCCCCTCCCTGATCCAGAGTCCCTCCCCATCTCTCCTGGAGCCCCTTGAGAGACTGGAAGGGGCTCTAAGGTCTCCCCAGAGCCTTCTCTTCTCCAGGCTGAACACCCCCATCACTCTCATCTTCATCAATATTTTTTACATGGAGGAAAAATATCCTGCTAAAATCAAATTATTATTTCATGTAAAATAGAGGCTATGTCATTCAATGGTATTATGGTAACAATTGCATAATTAATAGCCATAATTTGCAGGGATCTGTTGACAGATGCTCCACTCATGCAGCATGCAGTGCCCGGAGGCCTTGCCTGGGTTGGTACTGACTCATGGGCAGCTACACTTAGCATCTTGCACTCTTCTCTTTCACACCAGCTTTGATTTTCTTGTCTCAGGTACCAAATCTATTTCCTCATTTTGATTTAAGTCCTATTTCACCTTCACCTCCTTTCAAACTGTTCACAGTTGTTGGGTTGTTCTTTTTTTTTGCCCTTCTCTTCTTTAATCCATCCCTCTGTATTTTTATGTGATTATCTTGCAGATCAGTGATCTCACAGAGACCTTTAAACTCTTCCCACTGTTCTTGCAGCTTCTGCCTGCTTTCCTTTCCACCCACCCTCAGGAGTCCTCCAGTGCTGGGGCCCTCTCAGCGCTGCCACGTTGGCACATTACTGGTCCACACAGAAATGGGTTAGAAGTGAGTGGTGATGTCCATTTCTGCCCAGGTAAGAAGTACCTAATTGTGAAAGTTTTTATTATATGAGTTTGGTAAGATACACTGTTAATGGATAACAAGTGTGTTTGGAAATAGCCGGGGTTTTTCAGCTCTAGTTTTACTGTACCCTTTTTACCAGCTTCCTCCCTTTTGGTCCTTCCAAAATAACGGTGCAAAGTCTTTTCCTCTTCTGCTACAAATGTAGGATGCATCTGTTTTACAAATACCTGTACATTCTAATTAAATATGCTACTGTGTATTGTTCTGGTAACTTATCCACTATGATATTTTTCTTCTGCTTTTAAACGATAACTTGAATTAAAAAGAAAAGCTCAAGCTTTAGGAAACCTAATCTGAGGTGATAATTGAAGCTAATTCTATTTACATAATGTTGGCAGACAAGAGTTTTAATTCAGATTTCTTGACAAGTCAAAGTGCTGCTTTATTAATGACTGTCATTCCAAAGGAACCTCAGTAAACGACGCCTTGAGATTACAGTGCACTTAGTGTGATTATTCTGTTGGCCTTCTGAGAGGCCATTAGAGTCACCATGATGGAGAGGCAGGGCCTGCTGTCAGTGCTGTTTGATCACTCCCTACCTAGCCTGAAAGGAAACAGAAAGAGCAGTGGTTAGCGTATTTTGTCAATAACAGACAACAGCATGTCTTTTATTTTAGTTACACCCAATGAAACTAGCATGGGTTAACTTTTGCTGTCACTTGATACATAACTCTTTACGTAGGCAACAGCTGAAATACTCTGATTTGAGAGTTGCTGAATATCCAGTAGTTATGGGTAGCAGGGGATGGTGCAGGACTTTTAAGAAAGTACCCCTCTCTAGGCTCCTCCCTAGAGGATCCCAAGTTTTACAATGTTGATCCTAGATTTTAATCATCCTCTACAGTTTCCTGATTCTCCTTAACAGAACTAGATCCTTTGAAGCTGAAGTGGGTTGAAAGGCAGCTGTTAGACTGTGGCCTGACTAGAACTGGAAATGCCCAACTTAGCTGAGGGATTTTGCACAGTGCAAGCTCAGCTAAAGCTGGGCAGTAAATCTATTTTCTTTCAATTAATGCATATTTCCACTTAATTGTATTTTTGCCTCATTAAAAGAAATGGGTGCTCTTGACTAAGCTCTTTGGAGCCATGAGGACACATCCCTGCTCTGAGGGACTTCAGATGTAAGTAGAGAGGACAGAGAAGTGGAGAAAACAGAATATTGGCTCCACCTGGGGAGCAGGAGCGTGAACATTGGTGACACCCTGGCTGTCAGTGCAGAATTGCTGCTTCTTGGGAGCTTTCAGGGAGGGTGTTGGTTATTTTTTGCCAGCGATGCACATCTACACACACACTGTGCACCTCCTCATTAAGCAGCTGAATTGTTCAGTGGATTTAACTGCATTGCTCCCTCTTCGCTTCCCACTGCTGTCCTCCTGGCTCACATGTGAAGAATCTTAGTAAAACTCAGTACTTGCTAATTGCAGCATACGCAGTGACGCTGCAGAAGCAGCTGATGAAAAGTGCTTTGCAGTGACTAATCCAACTTTGTATATTAGATCCTAGAAGCTCTCCAGCATCTTGGCTTGCTTGTTTGAGGAAGCTAAATAAATTACTGTAACAACGAAGAGAACAGTTTAGTGCCTGTTAACGTAACAGAGGCAGCCTGGAATTTCCTGGTAATAATCGGGACTGGATATTAAGTGGCACTTAAGTAACAGTAATTAACAGGCTCTTCCTCAAAAATTAGTCCTCCCACACTCTTTAGCACCACTATTTGTAACGACAAGGCACTACTCTTTACAAAAAACAAGTGCACAATACAGCTGTAGCTATTAAGACAAAATTACCTATTTTAGATTTTTTTTTTCCAAAGCTTAATGAACATAGGTACCTTATATTTACAAATCAAAACTTTCAACTTACTCTATGGTCCCCAGCTAATCTGGCATAGTGCTGAACATATCCTAAAAATGTCTATCATCAGTCTCAAGAATCTGCTACAGTAAGTCTAAGATGTAATGAGACAGAACGGAATGAGTTTAAGTAATAAATGTTTAATCAAAGAATTTTACATATTATTAACAGCATTCATTTGGCCAAACATCTACATGGTTGTAGTATCCTACTTGTATATAAAGTGGGAATGTATCAAGTATAGACTATGAAAGTGCAAATAACAATTCAAGGTTAGAGTAATTTTTTTTACATTATAAAATTAACAGGTTTACAAAATAGTCTTGCCAAACTTTATTTTTGAATTGTAAAGTCAATGACTATGGTGTTAAAATAAGTACCAAGAAAATACAAATTTAATAGGCTAATTTCATGCTCATAAGAGTTACACGGAAACAATGGATATACTGCACAACCTAACCAAATTACAAAAACCCAGAACCCACAAACTTCACTACCTTCACAGAGAGCACTCTTACATATCTTACTGTAACTCTGCAAGACATCTCAATGCAATACACCATCTTTTTGTAAGAATCTTCAGAAATTACAGTTCAAGGAAGCTATGCAAGTTAAACAACTTTCAGACCAATTCGTGATGAAAGTTCATGAAAAACTGTTTTAGTTGAAGGATTTTATACCATAGAACAATTTTAAATTGGTATTTTTCAAAGGTGTCCAAAGGTTCATGATTATGTCAAGAGTAGGGTGACTAGAGGAAAAGCTGGAAAATGATTTGAGACTATTCTATTACATTCTCTCTAAAGATGCTTGCAAAATGTATGAGGTTTTTATGGGGTAAAGGTAAAATATTTCATTTTTTACTAATATGAACCTTCTGACTGCAAGGTTCAAAAGCTGGATTTGCATGAATTAGTTACCAAAACACTCACTTGAACTTACAGTAATCAATACATAAACTTTGCTATCATGACACTTGCCTATACACACTCAGTAGTAATAAACTTTTATATCATATCAACAGATCTCTGGTAACAGTTAAGCAAAACTTAAAATGGAGTGTATGTAGTTTGCTCGTGTTATAACAAGTTTTGATTATATGTAATTAAAACAGCCATTTCAACAACTTACTCTAGTTGTAATTACATACTGTACCATTGTATCTCACTAACTGTAGATTGATGCTTTTAAGCAAATCTATAACCAGTATTTTTTTTTTTTTCACGGTACAACAACTAGGAAAAGGGTTTTTTGTAGGGTGTTTTTTTTGTTTTTTTTTTTTTTACACTAAACAGTAATCACACAGCAAATGAATATTGTGCAATTGAACAAATACCTAGCAGTGTTTTGTTTGTGCAAAAACACTGACTGAACATTTAGTTATTTACTGTAAAGGCAAGGCCATGTGTGGTTTTATGGAGGTCTTTGCAATTAATAGCATAGTTACTCCAGAACAGACATGGAATTTGAATTACTTGTTTAACTGTGGCAACTATCCAGTTGGGTTAGGCAAAGGCACCGTAACGTTGAGCAGAATGTGTTATTTGAACTTTAATTGTGGGACTAGCTAATATATGAAAATTCCATATTCCTGTATTTTTATAAAATGTTATCATTAAAAGTAATTGCACTATTAGTGCATAGAATGCTTTGTAGAATTATGAAAACAAAGAACTATGATTGCACTTCCATTAAAGTGTCTCTTAAAATACAGCATAGCTGTTGCTAACTCACTGTATTTTAATATTTAAAATAACTGTTTAACAGCAGCATTAGGTTTTATTAACTTAAGATACAGGCTACATTTAATTAAATGCAGTCACCATGGCAACACATGCCAGTTAAATTTAGAGAGGCAATGCTACCCAGTGGTTTCTTTCACTGCTAAGAACTGTGGGATTAGTCTGGTAGAGTAACACTGCACTGTTTTGTTAAGCTCCCGCCAGCTAACTATTCAGAGTTTGGCACATTTGGACTGTAAATAGACATGAAAAAGCCTTTGATTTTAATGGGAAATAATATCCCCTAAAACTTATTCCTGGAGCAGTATTAAAGAGAAGCATTAAATACCTCTGCTCACACTGCTAACAAAAATGAAAAATGAGTAAGGAAAAGTTATGGAAAACAAAACTAAAACGCAAATGAATTGCTAAATGTTATTTTGGTGAAAGAATGCGTTCTAAAATATGGAATAAACTATTTCTTAGGAAAACCAACCATAATAATCAGTGTAAGCCTTTAATCTGTACTTTCAAGTTAAGGATCATCAACCTAAGGCTAAACAGATGCTGCATTGTATTAGGAATGTGGAATACAACCTACTTATTCCTTTTTCTTGAGAGCAAAAAGGCAATTACTACCTAATTAAATGCAAAGGATATTCCTTGAAAGGTTCACATTATTATAAAGAACTACAATTCAAGAGAACTCCTAAATATCTGTTGTTATGTCAGTGGTTACAACTGCGCCGTAATTCTGTGGATCAAAGCCTCCATAATGCTTACTCCACATACTGTACCATCTGTCACTGCCATTCTCTTACTCCAAATCTAGTTTTTATTCACACCAGATGCACGTGCTCAATCCACTCACTTGAGGTTTGAGGAGTCTGACTTGAAGTACCTCCTGAAGCATCCAGGGTGCTCGTTACCTCTCTGTTGTTATCACCACTCTGTGATACTGTTTCACCTGGAATAACATTTTCTTCAGAAGTGCTTTGCT